ACGGGATGATCTACGAAAATTGGCCGATCGTAATGATGTTTTGTTTCGTCATGGCTAGGGTACTAGAGTTAGAAGTGTAACTGTCGTAACTAAAACACGTTCGTGTTTTTCGGAAAGAAGCGGAAAGTCAATGTTGATTGTTTTAAAATAAATGCTTAATCGCAGAATTTATAGCATAAATAGAACGATTTTATTACAGAATTTGGGGTCTCAGCAGAAAATCAGTAGCTCCACATATGTCTCGATCGATATATATGTGTATATATAAACCCGATTATAATTAAATTCTTAAAATTTCATAACTCTATTATTCGCCCTTGTAAATCTTGATTTTAAGTTTTTTTTTTCTCCACCCCGCCAAATTTCGTCGTCTTCGCCAGAATAATTTTGGGTTTTGCAGGGGTTTCGTCTTCATTCTTAGCCAGTTTTAAGTTTCGTCTTTCTTCATAATGCGGAAAAAGTTTAACCTAACAACTATAGTCGAAATGTTGTCACCGGCACTCAACCCACGAGTAGGTGCCATTTCAACGGCAGTCTCGACTTCAAGGTATGTGCTATTCATCATAATATAAATGATCTTTAATCATGACAGTTGAAACTAAAAGTTTATTGATTATTAGAAATAAGAAAACTCATACCATTAAACATAGAAGGATCTATTATTCGATTTCGATAATCTTCCATTTGCGCTTCAAAATTAGCTTGGTAAAGCTGTATCCTCTGAACCTGATGATTGGCCATGAACTCTTCATAATGTTGTCGATAAAGCACTCTTTTTTCTTCCAGCTCTTCACTAAATATAAGAAATTGGTCAAAATCAATTTATAATTAGGAAAATATAAAACTATCAAGGTTCGAAGGACTGTATTTTAATTAATCTTTATAAACATGGTTGTTTATGGTCTGATCAATCAATATTATAACAACCACTCAAAATTCAGCATTTGTTAACACACAGACATCAGGTATACTTCTTTCTGCCTGTTACGTCCTTCGGCGATAATTTAAAGACGTACTTTTTTTCATTGACATGTTGGTTAAACAAAAGGGCTTGTTGTTGCTTCCATTCTTCGAATTCTAACTCTTCGTTGCCTTTTGCAAAATCGTCAATCATTTTCTCTAGCTCTGTTAACTTTCCTTTTAGAGAAACTTATTAACGAAAAAAAACAGAAGTATAAGCCATAAAAAATTAGTACGAATTTAAAAATAAATGTTGCGGCTAATGCTGAAATTGGCTAATACTGAAATTTGGGGTCCTGATTTGAAAATATAAGCCCTGCTAAAATCCGCATATACACTTTAATTATAAATTTTAGCCCCAAATCCTAATTCAATCTTTAAAAAAAAAACGGAAAAGAACACTCTCAAAAAAATTAAAATCTCACATCAAAATAGGTCCAAATTTCAGCATCAGCTGCGATAATAAATAATAAAAAATTGTTAAATAATCTATCTACTTCTAACCTGCAGAAACTGCCATCTCTTCTATCATTTCCTTTACTTTAGGTAACTGATTAGATTCTGACTTGACTAATTCGCATGCTTCATAATGGTTTTCACACGTTTTAAGTATTGTCAGAATTAATTCATCTGCAATCTTAAAGTATGGCATAATATTAACTTCAGGTCAAAA